GTTTGAAAGGGTACACTATCCCTTTTTTTGAGAATAATTTAAGGTTGGGATTTAAAAATTTAGTTTGATATCACCTACAAACATCCCACTGAACATTTCCTACTATATGATAAGAGGCTGTTTTTGCAATTGTCTTCAGGAAAAGAAGTACATATTTAGCCTTTAATTCCTCCTTTTCACAGGCACATACAAGGCCCTCCTACAATCCAGTAAGCTTTAGGCATATAGAACTATCGCTTCTAGATACTTGGGAAACTGTATCTTGCTAGGTCATGCAGGATGTAACTTTGTTAAAGACACTACGGTAGATTAAATAGGGTTTGGTACCATAAATACCTATTCACACACCAATCACACATGAGAGCATTTTCCCCTCACTGAGATTTATGATTGTGAGTCCTTATTTTATAGCAAACTATAGCTACATAGATATATTAAAAGGTATATATATATAAAGGGTAGCTCCTCCTTCTGCTTCGCTTACATTTTATTAATAGGTTCATAGAATCACAGAATATTTAAGGTTGGAAAGGACCTCTAAGATCATTGAGTCCAACCATTAGCCTAACATTGCCAGGTTCACCACAAAATAAGTCCCCAGGTACCACATCTACACATCTTTTAAATACTTCCAGGGATGGTGATTTTACCACTTCCCTGGGCAGCCTGTTCCAATGCTTGACAACCCTTTCCATGAAGAAATGTTTCCTAATATCCAACCTAAACCTTCCCTGCTACAACTTGAGGCCATTTTCTCTTGTCCTATCACTTGTTACTTTGAGAGAGGAGACCAACCCTCGCCTGGCTACAACCTGCTTTCAGGCATTTGTAGAGAGCAATAATGTTTCGGGGAGCTCAGTGATCATCTCAACAGCTCCCTCAATACCCTTGGGTGGATCCCATCCAGCCCCATAAACCTCTGTGTGTGTCTAAGTGGTGTAGCAGATCACTGACCATTTTCTCTCGGATTATGGGAGTTTCATTCTGCTCCCCATCCCCATATTCCACCTCAGGGGTACACGGACAACAACTGGTGTTACTATTAAAGTCTTAGGAAAAAAGGTATTAATTTCCTCGGTCTTTTCCTCAACCTTTGTCACTGTTTCACATCACATTCAATAAAGGATGGAGATTCTCCTTAGCCCTCCTTTTGTTGCTAATGTATTTAGAGAAATGTTTTTTATTGTCTTTTATGGCAGTAGCCAGATTAAGGTCAAATTGGGCTTTGACCCTTCTAATTTTCTTCCTGCGTAATTTCATGACATCCCTGTAGTCCTCCTGAGTTGTTGCTCCTTCTTTCAAAGGTCATAAACACTCTTTTTTTTTTTTTGCCCTCTAAGTTCCAGGCAAAGCTCCCTGTTCAGCCAGGCCAGTCTTCTTCCCCACCAATTCATCTTTCAGCACATGGAGACAGCCTGCCCCTGCACCTTTAAGGTTTCCCTCTTGAAGAATATCCAGTTTTCTGGACCCCTCCGACCTTCAGGACTGCCTCCCAAAGGACTCTCTCAACCCATCTCCTAAACAGGCCAAAACCTGCCCTCTGGAAGTCCAAGGTAGCCATTCTGCTGACTCCCCCTATTTACTTCTTCAAGAACCAAAACTTCATGATTATTTTGTGATCACTGTGCCCAAAACAGCCTCCACTCACCATATCACCCACAGTCCTTCTCTATTCAGACAGCAGGTCACATGACCAACCCATGATCAAAAAAAAAACCACTGAAATTCTGCCAGTGACTCCAGGCTCAGAGTTGGCTCTTCCTTTTTCTTCCTTCATCATTCCCTGCAACTAGAAGGATAGAGGTGAACACTACTTCTGCTCTTGATCCCTTAACCAGTTGTCCCAAGGTCCTGAAGTCTCGCCTGATTGCACTTGGTCTTCTTGTTCCAACTCCATTGCTGCCTACTTGAAAAACCAACAGTGGACAAAAAATCTGAGGGCTGTGCTAGGGCAAGAAGTTTTCTCATCACATTTTTAACCCAGGCTCCAGGGAGGCAGCAGACTTCTCTAAGAAGTGGATCTGGTCTGCATATGGGGTATTCTGTTCCCTTCATAAGGGAGTCTCCTATGACAATGACCCACCTTTTTTTCTTTATGAAAGCAGTTTTGACATGGAGCATAGACTGACTAATCTCTGTGACACCTCCGTTCTAGACGAACCATCATCCTCATTATTCATCAGTTCCACTTGCAGAGCCTCACATCTGTTGTGTCAGAGCACCTGGGGAGGTGGGGCAGTCACAGAGGAGACACAGCTGCTGCATCAGGCAGGAACTTCTCACCACTGTCTCCTGTCCTTGAGTCATCAGGTAAAGAGAGTCCAGGGAATCCTCCATGTCATGAGTCCTGTCTGCCTGTTGGGCACAGCTCAGGGAAGAGCAGGGTGCAGTTTCAGTAGTCTACTCTTTCTCAACTCCCTGACATTCCTTAACCATTCACCTTCTCCTAGAGCTCTGTCATGGAGCAGAGCAGTTCCTCTGTCTGGGTACACCTCCCACTGCTGTGCTCACAAATGCCGTTTCTCAGCTAATAGCTCATATCATACTACTAATAAATATTGCCCCCAGTGCAAAATTCTTAACTTCCTCTGCATTTTAAAGCTAATCTCCTCCACACCTGGTCTTCAGAGATAAACATGTTAATCTTGGTTCTAAATGCATTCTTTATCTTGTTAAAAATATTGAGATTATCCTAAATATACAACTGTTCTTTGAAATAGTGTAATAGTCCTCCTTTATTGGGCAATGAATGTCTACTCTGAAGACAAATTGTTTGACTCTGAATAGACAAACCCGAGTGTCTTCAAGTGCTAGTCACAAATAATTTATTATTGTCTCCTTTCAACAATAAAACCAAGCAAAATACTCCTGAAAACAAGGTGCTGTCTTTAAAATGTTTATGAACTGTCTGAATAGATAACATTAGCACTCCTTACTCAAAATTAGGGATTTTCAACATGTAATTCTTATCAGACATGGAACTCATAAATTGTCTTTTGTAAATTATGCAGTTTCTTCTGTTTAGTTCACCGATTTGTTACTTCTTCCCTCTAAGGGTAGAACTTCTCCCTAACTTCAGCTTAAGTCAGGCATCCTAACTAACGTAGCATCAAAGTACTCTAGAAAGGAAATATAAGACACATCAGAGATTAAACACCTTCTGCATATGTCAATGTGTTTTAGAAAAGGGTCAGCTCTTCTCTGTAAAATTCTGTTTCATCTGCTATTAAAAAAATTAGATGAGACAAATCTGACCTTAATTGACTAAAACTCTGTCTGATGAAATAGCTTGCATTAAGAAACTGTCTATCCACAATACAACTGTAAACTATTGACTAATATTCAATTACAGAAGCAGCACATTTGCCTTTGGCGAACATTCCCATTCAAGCATAGATATATGTAGCATAAGAGTATAAAATAGTCACAAATGGAAAAAATTCAACATTTGCTTTGAGTGTTATTAAACAATTTTATTTCCATTTTTTAAGTAAAGCAAAATAAGTAAATACACCAATCATAACACATCTGTTATGCTGAGCTATAAAGAACATATATCGCTATCATTTGTAAGCTTTCTATAACAACTCAGAGCTTAAAGAACTTGTTTTCAATTGTTGACATTTTTATTGATTGCATTGATGTCAAGTGGAGGTAAATTACATGAGCAGTGAAGCTCAGTTATGCACTAATTCAATACAACTACATAATAATTGTTGATGAGCACCCACCCAGAGCAGAAGTCTCAGCAAGACCAATTAGCTGCTTGCCAATACTGCCAAGGTTTAGGGGTTGTAGCCTGCATTCTAAGTCACTGAACCTCTGCAACTTCCATAAAGATTTTGGGCTGCATTTTGCAAAATCCCTTACAAAGTGCACTTGCTTAGTCTGCAATTCATCTTAAGAAAGTAACAGTTTTATTTGCCCCTTCAAAATAATTCTCTAATTATTTTTTATAGCCTGAGTTAAAAACAAATCAGTTTATCATTACAGATTTTTCTTAGATCATTTTAAAATATTTTCTTGTAAATGAGACCATACGATTGCTTTCCTTCCAAGAATATTTGAAAGAGCTTCTAAAATAACTGAATAGTGATGAATTTGAGGAAAGGCAAAAATGAAAATAAGAAAGGTACATTCAAAACAGAAAGTAAGAAAACAAAATAAAATCTAATCATTAATTATGTCACACAACCATATAACTTGATAGCATGGAGATCTGAAGTGCTCTCCAGAACATCTAATCCATTGCCCCATACAGAACAACTATGTTTCACACAGATAGCTTCCAGTTATCCCAAAGATAAAATATATTCATATACTAAAACTCCATAGAAACTATTTGACACTAGAAAGAAAGGGACAAAGTGAAAGCTGTTTGTCAGTGGCAGCCAAGGTTTATCCAGCATCAAGGAACTGATCAGGAGAAATATGTTCAAATAATCCCAGATACCAGATGGTCACCCTTGCTACAACACTGTGCCTTTTATGATAATTATTCCCATACAAACACATCACGGGCTCCCTAACTTTCCAAACTAAAGTTCTATTTTATCTAAATCAGCCAACAATATACAAACCAGGAATCTAGGAGAGAAATTTTTCCAAATTTTCTTCAGAGAACTGTTCGCTTTGTCCACTTTCTGAGGCCAATTCCAGCTGTTGCAAAGGAATGCAATGTAAAAAAAAACCTTCAGAGAAATCTGATGCTGAAAACCATGCATCCCTGCAGGATAAAAAGCCTACCAAACTTCCAAAATAAATACCTTCCTTCCCTCAAAAATAATACAATATTCATTTAGCTTATCTTTTCCAAATATCTCAAAGTGTCACTGTTTGAACCTTAAAGATAAGTATGTCAGAAGAATATTCAAACAAAATCCAAATTTACTTGTTTGATGATGACTGGGCTTGACAGACCAGTTGAGAGTTAATTTAGGTAGTGAAAGATGTTAACACAATACATAGCAAAAGCATTCCAGTCTCATATGGTCACTGCAGCTTTTCATATTGACACAATAACTGCTAGGCACTGAGTTGGATTTGGGTGGGGTTTTTTTCAGAAATGCTATCACTAGTTTACCTTTCTTTCCACCATAATATTCTAAATTAATTAGGAAAATTAGTTATGTAAGAACAGACTAGCCTATGCACTTCTGCCAATACATTTCATTCAGGCCACTGAGTACTGTATAAAAAAAAGCCAGCACGACCTTTAAACTAAATCAAATGGCTAACACAGGGTTGATTTTTTTTGCTTAGAGGGACTCCCTAGTACCACAGAAAGATCTATAAAAGCTGATTTCTTCCTTAAAACCTGTATGATTGCAGGAATAAGGCACAGTAAGTATATGATCTGCATAGCAATGTAAGCACTTTTAGGCAGGGCAAGAAGGCAAATCTACAGAAATGTGATTCTGCAAGCCAGTCAGCCTAACATCAAGTTCCTATAAAGGAACATGTTGAAAAAGTGAGCATGGGTTGAAAACTGTCTGGATCAGTCAGGTTCAAAGTGAATCTGGATTAGAGGGACAAAATCCAATTGGCAGCTGATTAGTAGACATATTCCTCAGGGATCAGTGTTCACAAACAGCTTTATTACCAACCTTCACGACGGGATGGAGCGCACACAGCAAGATTACACGTGATGCCAAACTAGGGGGAGAAAGGACTGATAAGCTGGGACATGGAACAGCTACTCAGAGGCACCTTGTGAGATTGACAGAAGCAGAGAATGACAGAGAAACAGAATGACAAGCACTTCATGAAGCACAACAAGTGCTGCACCCAGGACCCAAGCACCCTGACCACCAGTGCAAGCTGGGTGCAGTTGGCTAGAATGCAGCCCTGCACAAAAGAAGCTAAAAATCCTGCTGGGCAACGAGCTGCACAGTGCTAACAAGTCCAAGATCATACTGGTTTTAAAGACTTTGCTTTCAATGTCTTTTTTCTTGTGGCTTTGTAAATCATATTTCTTACATGACACAAATATAATCCTCGTGGGTTAATACTACAACTGGTAGTAGTTTTCATCTAATGACTTCTTCCTCAGCTCTCACTGTCTTTTCTTTCACATATTTAGACTCTTCATGGATTTTCATTTAAAAAATAGCTTAGAAGGTTAGGAAAAGAAAACAGATAGGCTAAAGTCTGACAGATACATTTTTGTCTGGGTTTTTTTTCTGCTTTAAATGAACACTCTTGTGCTAATGAATCATAACACATAACCCCTGTTCATCTATATTAGTTCAAAAGAATAAAAGCCAAAAATAATTGGCATCGGCAAAGATTTTGGATTTAAAGAGAGTGAGCACAATATATTCCTTGTGTTATGCCTCTGTACTGTACTAGGAACTCTGTAATATTCCATCATTACAAAATGTGCTTGTGAAAGAATATAAAAATAGGCAAACAAAATAAAGACCAAAACACTCAAGCTCAGAACACACAGTGCACAAAGTACATTCCCATTGTATTTACCCAGTCATTAGCTATCTGTTTGCATTGTATATGGGGAAGTGCAAAGTAAACCAGAAAGCCTGCTTGCGTAGTCACTGACATCAGGACTGTAGGGTTATTAGACACTGGACAACCTTTTGCAAAAAGCTTTTATGATTTGAAAACTTTCTAAAATAACAGATATGGGTTTATTGTGAGAACTGAGACTAATCTAAGCCCTCGCTGCTCTGCTTTCACTAATTAACATTCTTTGCTATGATGGGCACAGTCCCAGGCATTGCATGACAGAGGCACCAAACATTCATGCCTTCTGCTAACATAATACTCTTGAATTTCAATATACGATACTTTAAACCCCATAAATGCAAAGTACAAGATTATGCATTCCTTTGTTAATCAAAAGCCATTATTTCTCTCCCATGCCCATCGGCAAGGCACACAAAACTAGAAGGAAGAGTGGCCACAGCTGCAAAAATACCCCCAAGATCTGCTAATGATCTTCTAGAGAGCTACAGCTCACATTATCAAGTACAAATGAGAAAGCAGTGAAAATGGCCCAGAAGAACAATAGCATGAACACACTCTTTTCAGCCCAAAAGAAGCTATGAAGCAATAATATCCAATTGATATTCATTTTTAGCACCAAACACAGGTTCTTTAGCAGAATAGCTAAACTTGTGGTTTTTGCAAGCACTGATATGACAGTTTAGCAGGCTACCCTAAACCTGTGGGTTTTGTAAGCACGGTAAGAGAAGAGTATGAAAGCAGCATGTTGGCACACATCTTCCAAAAATTAGTTTTCCCTATAATTTTTTATTATCTAAAAAAACATTTTGTTGAAATGGACAGGAAAAAAAAATCATTTATATAGGAAACTTAATGTGATGACTTGCCATAATTATTTATGATTGATGTACACCAGCAGTTCAGCATCATTCACGTAACTTAGTCCAGCTGAAATCTAAGGAAGAACAATACCTCCCCCAAAAAACAAGAGAAAAATTTTACAGTTAAAAAAAAATTAAGAGTTACTCTTCCATTTTGGAAGCATATCAAAACAATATTTATTTCACTGTTGATTTTCAAACTTGAAAATTGTCAGTAAAATCTGCACCCATATTTCTCCATTCTTTTCTCCTTCTGATTTGTGTACCTTAAGGTTTCAGAAAGAATAAACATTGCCACTTCATTCAGAGGAGATAAAAAGGCATGTTACAATATAATCAATTTTAATCCCTTCAGTTGCAAAACCAAAATTAATAGTAATTTGAAAACCTTATCTCAGCCATCTTCCTCAACTATTTTGTGTTTTTAACATATCTACTGCTACTAAATTGTAAAAGAATGCAAAGCAAACACAGATTAGAATATTTTGCAACTGACTGTAGAAAGCAGTGAGGCTGCCTGGAATACAGCCAGGAATTTGTCTCTGTGCCTTTGCAGAAACTGTCAGTTTCAAGGAATAAAACTATTGCACAGTGCAGCTATTTCCAAGCAAATTGTAAGGCTCCAGCAACTGAAGTGGTGTAAATGACAGTTCTGAAAGAGAAACGGGGTTTCCTTCAAGCCCTCAACAGATATCAAGGGGGAGAGGGAAAAGATACTACCTTTGGGTTTTGTCCAAAATGATGCTGTTATGCTCTATTCAAGAGCATATTTAACACATTTGTAATATCCAGTAAGACTCCACTCTAGCCAATAAATTTGTACCAGAAGAGATTTTAGTTCTGACAGAAGGGTTTGGGGTGGTTTTATACTTTGAACAACCTTCTTTGTTCTGGCATCTGTGGCTGCTCAGGTTGTACTTTCCCCTCTCAGGGAGAACATGCTTCATATCATTCCCTATGGATTGAATAAACTTACAGCATTTTTAAGATGCTTTCCTTCCTTTGCTTGTGATGAAGGGGAAAGTAAATGAAACATATATGTGTTTAACTCAGTCACCACAACCAAATAGCTTGTCAGATCTGTGCATCCGGTAAACCATGAAACACAGCCTTTCCTTATGTTATCCCACAGTCAGAGATTTTCAGTCTTTCTTCCTGATGGTTTCAATCAGCGTTTTAAGTGTTTATTTTCACTGTGATACCAGCTGTGATATTAATGTTGTCACATTCAGTCAGGAATAGAAGTCACCTATACATTGGCCCTTATGTGTTTCATAATTTATTTCAGCCTTGTTTTGAAACACTGCCAGTCACCGGCTCTATTTTTATGCCTCAGTGCTACTCAACCTTAACTACTGCAAAAGCAGGACCACATTAAGATACAGATTGTGCAAGCGCTGATAATTAGCACTCATACCTCTTGTTTTCTGAAGTGCCAGGTAACTGGCAAAGCAGAGAGTGCTGCACTCCTGACTGAAGCCGACACGATACCTGTTAGCATGCTAATAAAGGACTGGGATCTCACACTTGCAATACATTTCAAATGTTGCAAAAGGCTTTTCAAGTCAGGTTACTCTGATTTACTTCCACAGGTGTAAGTGATCTTCATCGTATTTTTAGCAACAGGCCCAGCTCATGACTCAGAGCAGGACTAACTTACGCAGAACCACATCCCACTGTAAAGCACTAGAACGTATGTAAACAAGCAGGTTTTTTTTCTTTTTTGCAGAAAATATTTTAAAGTGTCAGTGAGGAGGACTTGTTTGTAGTAATATAAAATATAAGCACAATAAATATTTAAGGGCTGATTAAAGAAAAACTACTCCCGTAATTATAAAACTGTGTAGCCTATAAAGCTTCAACCACAAACCAAAATTCCATTTTATTTAACATTTTAAAACTATTTTATTTAAGATATTCTACATTTTTATTTAACTACCAGGCTTCAGTCAGATTAGAGAAGATATTTTCTTTTGCAATACATATTTGTATGCTTAGAAATACAATTTATTCTGATCATAGTACTAGCACTGGAATGCAAATTTCAGTAGCAGAATTTTCTTTCATCTTTAATTCAAGTAGTAGCATGTACTACCACAACTCAGACCAGAAATTCGTTTCTGCAATATGAAGTCACTTGGCTGCAAGAGTTTCAACAGTTTTCATAGCACAATTCTTGTATGTATCAGTATAATCCTGTATTTAAAACTGATATGTAGTATTTTCTTTGAAATTAATATCAGCTAATTTTATTATGTCATCTAGAATGTATTTACCTGTGATGTTCAGCAAAAGTAATGAGTAACAGCCTCACCAATTATAATTCAATTATTTCTGCTTACTTTTTGTTAGACTGTCTGCACACATTAAATACAAAATATATGAACAGTTTAACAAAAAAAAAAAAGAAATCTGTTATTTTATCACAGTGGATATTCCTCCATCCAAAAAATGTTATGTGCATGGTAGAGATTATTACATCTGCATCTTTTAACTCAATCAATTACTGAAAAAGCAATGTTTTTAACCACAGGAGGCCCAAATTATGTACTCACATCATTACAGAAGTCAGACAACTTTCTGCAAGTTAAGCGATTAAAAGGTGCACATCTCTGACACATGAAAACTCTGAACTCAGCATCAAAAGATGACTGAAACATAGTCTGCAATAATTCTCAGCTATCTTTTTTTGCAAGGCATCCTACCCATCAATAATACTTGCTCTGTGGTAAGTTCAGCCCACAGATAAGGAAATAAATCAGACGGAAGGACACGAAAAGTAATTTTTATTCCAAATGTTAATTTTATCCTTATTTCAAAATAAATTCTCAATACATTACCATAATAGATTTCTGCATCTATTAGCATTATACATGTGCAAGACAAGTATCAATCTCTGTCCCTGGGGAGCCGAATTCTGTCACTTAAATTTATAAACCATGATACACACCACTGTTAATCATGAAAATGCTGCTGACTCAAGAAATAAGATACTCCCAAATCTACAACCCATATTAAGAGAACCCTTTAAACCACACAATTTCATATTTTCTTATTTTTAAAGCACTCTAAGTTTAAAGATGTTCTCAAACCAGTAAATTAATGGGCAGATATGCACAGAAAACCTTACTCCTTTTCAGTCACACAGTTATGAGGGCAAAGCTGCTGTGTAAAAACCAGATCTCTCTCAAAACATAGAAAAGCTTCTTTATAGAGTTTTGAAATGCTGGCTCTGCTGAAGTTAACTAAGAATTTGTTGATCTCAGTGGTTCAATCACCCTTGACGCAAAAACTTCAATACCCTTCCTTTTTCTTTCAGTACTTTCTTAAGAAAAAGTATTGCTGTGATTATGGCATTTTTCTCTTTATTTCTTAAGCAGATGATTTATGGAGCATCAACTTTAAAAGGAAGAACAAGGAGATATTTAGGTTAACTTTTTCATAATCACTCTGTTTTTCATTAATGAGAAATTCTAAGAGAAAGAAGCCAGCAGGAACATTTCATTAAGCTTCAGGACAGACGTGGATTTTTTTTTTTAAGTCAGTCCATATATTTAGGTAACCAAATACAGACTTCTCAGTCTAACTACATGTACCTTATAAAGAAAAAAATCCCCAAACCAGACAACTTTAATAAGGAAGCTCATAGAAAAAGAACTGAAAAAGGGAGACTGCAGAGTCTCACAAATAGCCTTTAAAACCAAAGGTTAAAAAAATAAAATTATATTTTCTGACTCTCCAAGACAGACCCATCATAATTGTGGCATATTTTTCAGAGGGTTGTATGATGTCCAGAAATGCATTGCATTGCCTTTCATAACTTCTAGTAATGCAAGACACACCTCTAATTGTAATTTGTATTTTTGCTAATGATAATGAAGACTCCATCTTTACTGCAGCTTTTATCCTTTCATGAGGCATGGGTGCAGTTTTGAACTGAATTATTGTGTTGAGGAACCTTGAGTCCACTCAAAAAATGCACTGCATTTGACTACTAGAGCTTAAAATAAGTGTGTCCAAGTTACAAATTTACTCTAATACTTGGCTGCTAAATAGCTTCATTTAGGTCTCCTAATATACAATAACCACTGGATATTCATGTAATATGAAATACAAAGCCATATAGGATTCTGATATAATATTGCTGAAATCAACAAAATTAGAGAAAAGTTCCCTCTCTAGAACATGCGGTGACATTTTTTTATATATGATCTATCAATAATATTAGTCCTAACACTGTAATATTAGAATACAGTCTTGGCATTTTCTTTCCTTAAAGATGCTGAACTTTTTATTTTTATTCATTGCAAGGTTATTCATCAATGCACAGGACAACTAATGCTGTTGCCTGAACGAAAGAAGGTAAAGAACTCGAGGTTTCCAATTCTACACATGTGCAATCAGTTAAACAAAAAAAGGTGCCTCAGGGCCAACTATCCTCTCCACACACTGTCATGTAAAAGAAGTGGAATACAAAAAAAAGAAGTATTCAGAATGAAATCTTAATTCCACAGATTTCATCACCAGGGCCTATATTTTCACTGTGGGTGACTTAGAGCCAAGTTGATAACACCAGAGACACATGGGAAGTGGGGGATATGGTATCCAGATAACGACTCTGAAATCTCTGCAACTTGCATTTCCTACCACCTCCCAGATGACAAGTTAGGGTTTTTTTTAAATATTCCTTTGAGTAAAAACCCACATTTTATCTATATTCCTTCCTAATCTCCATTAATCCAAATGTAGGACAGCAGTTTCTTTAAAAAGTACAGAAGAAACGGTATCTTTTCACCAGATGATGGGAAAGAGTGAAACACTTCTCTGCCTCCTGCTTAAAATACGCATCCGAGATCAGACAAAGTGTTAGTCATTTGTGCATGCTTATTCCTTCTGCAAAACACAGCTGGGTGATGAGCACAGCACTTGCTGTAACATGGACAAAAGGCACTTCTTCAGTGATGATAGGGAACAAAATATTATTTCCAAGCAAATGTATCTTAGGAAGAATTTCAGCTACACCTACACAGACCAACTTTTCCACAGTCAGAAACTTCCATACGAAGATTCATAAAAGATGGGTTTGGCTCTTTGTAGAGCAATTTTTTCACCATTTTGAATGTTGTTTTATAAAATGATTGCTTCAGTGTTTGGTACAGAGGAAGCAGCCCTTCCTTCCTCACTCAGTCATGTCCAGCATTAAATCCTCACTAGCTTTCTCTCCTTGTGAGACAACTGTCTGTAGAATGATTTGCACTGTGTGTGCCTAGAATTTTTTTCTGCTTAGATGTTCACTGTTAAACATGGTAGGAGTAACAAACATTTCCAGTGGGATGTAGAGAGATGCCAGTACTGCCACTGCTCTTTGAATAAAGCTGCTGTTCAACATCCCACTGTGGTAGCAAACAGCACAACTACATAAAGCATCACAGGCACTGCCAATATACAGCATATTAATTATATGTACAACTAGGAGTATCTCATGTTCATTCTCTTATGCTGGTGTTACATATATAATAGACCTTTCTCTATCAGTCTAAAGCCTTGTTTCAGATAAGGCCATGGGAACAGAGGGACATGGAAGGTTCTGTCCTAGTGCTGTCATTTGTCTCATGTAACTGACTGCAACTTTCTCTTTCTCAGGAGCTAATTCCAGGCTTATATCTACTTATCAGGAATTCTTAAATTACTTTAATCACCTTTGTAGCTTTCTAATTGTGTTTTAACTGCTAGATCCCTATATGATAGCACTGAATATGTGTCCATTTACATTCAAAAGGACTATCAGACAAAAAAGACTATTCAACAATTATTTCATCTGTGCCTACCTAAAATATCATAACCAAACTCAGCATCATCATAACTTATGCTACAGTCATATGTCCAGACTTGAGGCTTTAAGCCAGAGTGACTGTTGGGCACTGACTAGCTGTGCCTCTCCCCAGGGAGAGCAGGCAGTTCCCTTCTCAAGGAAGCAGCAGAAGCTCCTAGAGTAGTTCTTCTAGGTAGTAAAACTGCACTCTCCATTTTCTCTTCTTTATTAAAGATCTTAAGGTAGCCAACAGCAACAGTATAAAATTCACAGTGCTCTGGAAGTGCACAGAACCACACAAGAGTTCAAGAGGCTCTTTTCACATTCCCTCCTACAAATACATTCACCACAGAACTGAAATAATTTGATCCTGCATGCATACATAAAACAGCAATAAATACACACTGTTTTACAGGCCTTTTATGTCTTAATTAAACCTTCAAGACAATTTAAAAAGCAATGTTCCTTATTTACAGTATTTTGAAAACTTCACTGAGCCATTACCATGCAAGGATAGATTTTTCTGTTTCATACTGTAAATTTCCTTTTTCCTCATAGATTTTTATATGCCACAGAGCACTCCTCTCCAGTCACACTACTCTGAACTATGTCTCTTTCTCTAAACTAATGGTCTAGCCAGACCATTTCCAATGGCCGTATCAAAATATGACAGGCCAGGGAAAATACAGAACAATATACTTGCATGAATCAGCACTCTAAAACCCCAAACCAACCCACTAAAACAAATTTTTAAGTAAATAAGACAAGTTACTGACTGTCTGCTCCAAAGAAGTAAACCTGACACAAAGTGCAAATAAAAACCTCCACATTATTCTTTACCCTGGCTTGCCAGGGTGCCTTGGCACATATTAAGTTGCTATACCTGCGGCTAATAAGGATTCTAGCATACCATTGAAGCATTTTGAGAAATGATGCCAAAGGTCGAGTGAATTCAACCACCCAAGGAGGTTTTTATAGCTCTCAAGCACTGGAAAATAGAAGAAATGTCATTACCACACTTTTACAGGGGACTCCTGCTAAACTGCTGTTCAAAACACTTACTTGGAGTTCTAAAGCAACTCATAATTTATTAGGAGGAACAGATAACGCCAAACAAAATAAAGCAAGTTAAACATAGTATTGTTCAGTTTTCAAGCAGAAGAGAGGTTAAATATCCTTGAGTTAGTAGTTGCTTTGCAGAGTTGCCTTACTCTAGAGTCCTACCACAGATCATCTTTTATCAGACTAGAGTGAGAATTTGAAAGAACTGTAAAGGTATTTTTTTTTACTAATTTTCATTAAGCAATGAGCTGGCGATTTGACATGGTATAATAAAAAGGCCTGCTGGGTAACAACTTTAACATGAACCCAAAATTGCTGTAGGAAAGTTCATAGTTTTGATGTCCTCCTAAATCATCATTTGTTATGTTTACATAACAAATCACTGCATTCACAGACCAGAAAACAAACACCGGATATGCAGTCCACAGAAGGTTTTTTTTGCTCTCCTCACAATGTGGAATAAAACCATCTCATTTCTATCAGCTCCATGGGCTATCAGAAATGTAAATGTTAGAATCTCAACATGATTCTAATTAAAGCAGTTTGAATTACAATTGTAAATGTATACTGTACCTTAGAGTAAGTATAAACACAAAAAAGTTCCTTCCATTAGAAGAACAACTCCTAACAGCTAGAAAGATGAAAATGCAAATGGGGGAGAGTGTACAGCAAAGAGAAAATTTTAATTCTGCCTCAGTGACCATGTTTTTGGTCTTTTTCAGAATTAGCATTTGGAAGACCAAACACATTGTTCAAAGTTATAAATTACAATGAATGAACAGGGGTGCATCAGCAGGACAATGATGCTGGAGGTCCAGCCTCAGGCATGTGAACATTTGTATGCCAAATTGAATATCACAACATGGAAAAAATGTCATCAGTGAATACACTAAGAGCATACTTTACACTATACACTTGACTGATTAAGGTGAATCAAATGCTGAGCTTGTTCAGTAGTTAAAACTTTTGATTTCACCGAACCACAATGACTCTCAGCATATTCTGCCACTTTACCACTTTGTATTGCCCTGGGATAAACTTGTGCCTCTTCAAG